TGTGATGTTTACAGGTTGCTTTACAGTCATTGCAAATCGCCTTTACAGGAGTCTCTTTTCTCATACAGTAATGCTGTCTCAGCTGCGTGATGAGCAGGCAGCTTCATAATTGCCCTTGAGTGCTTCCATGTTAGGCCTGGCCAGCGAAAGCACTGCAAGCATAATTAGAGGCATCAAGCATGTTAGCAGGATTACAAGCATCTTCCCTTCTCTGTCAAATTAATATTCCTTCCCCAGCACACGCACACCGTGCCTGGAAATGATGGGTTATTAGCTAAGACCTCATCCATACAGCTGCCCTCATTCAGGAAGCAGTAGGAAAAGACGTACACAACAAAATGTGCTTTGCTCTGAGGAAACATCACAGCATTAAAGATGAGGAGATATGGGGGTAGTTTGCCCCTGTACCCTGTTGCTGGCATAAGGGTTACATGTGTGCATTGAGCACAGCTCGTACTATCAGCCCTCTGGGGTGGGCAACGGACCAGATTTGCAAAGATATTCAGGGATGAAAAAAGAACAGGGTCTTCATAAATCCTAGGCCCATTGGGGTTAGGCACAAAATTTCCTCCCAGCATATCTTTAGACAAGTACCTTTGAAAATAGTAGTTGGTGCCTTCCTACAGCAGTATTCCTTGCCTGAGCCCTTCTGCTCACCAAAATGCATATATTTTTAGCAAAGGATTTATGATTTCCATGTGCTAATCTAGCGTTAGTCAACTTGCTAGAGGACATTTGTTTAGCAGAGAATGATGCAAGCTCATGCATCGATAAATACTGAATTTATCCATGAGAGACATTGGTTATTTTTATTTCTCATTGCTTTGTTTCTGGAATTCCTTTCAAGAAATCTGCAAGATTTATTCATTCAGTAATAACACAGTTTCATCTAACTACAGTGACTCTCCTTAGAAAGAGTAAGGTTTAAGAGAGGGAATCCTGCATAGGGATTTATTCACTACTGTACAGATTTAATAAAGCAATATTGGTGCAGGAGAACAGGGTGACAAACTTTCTGTCCCAGTTTACTTTGCTAGTGGGTGGTTTTACAGATTTTAAATGTTGAGCTCGGACTTTTCACGTTCAGAAAGCAGCAACACTTAATGCGGCTACAGAGAGATAGGGAACATTCATTAAAACATACACCTTGCAACCTCAAAAGCCAATTTTGAACTCATTGTGTCATGTTTTCAGGCAGATGTCCTAGCTGCACTGAAAGAAACATTGGCTGTACCTTAGCCAAAATAATCAAACAAAAATGCTTACAATTAAGCATCTATACTCACACAGGTGGAGAACTCCAATACATCTACCTTTAAAAGCAATGACCCAGCAACTGCAGGATTTAAAGATGCTGGACTGAGCCTATGCCTTCTCCTGTTTGAGTTTCCGATATGGAAATTCATATTTCAATACAGACAATTCAAATTGTAACTTCAATAAGGAAATACAGTTTTATTTTTTTCTCAATAGGGAGAATATTGCATATTATCAATCAACTCCAGTAGTTACTACTTTCAGATAAAGGACTTCCTAACCTCACAAGCAGGCCAAGGGCAAGTAAACTAAAGCAAACCCCTGAAATCTCATTTCATGTATCTGATAGAGGGAAGACAGCGCACAGTAATATAGGAACACAGGTGCTTTCTTCATAGTGGCACTAGTATCTCAAAAGGCTTGCCTTGCCCTGGGCAGAGCGCAGTCAACCTGCATTCGCTTCAGTGAGAGCTGAGGGCACTGATGGCCATCCTCACTGTTGCCTCTGGCCGAGAGCACTCATCTGCAAAGAGCACATCCCCTGCTAAGATCCCGCACACGATGTTCAGCCAGGAACAAAGCACTTAGCGGGGGATATGCTCTTTGCTAAAGTTCATCTGGAGCAGTTAATAAGCCAGGGCCCTTGTCCCACCAGCTTTTTACCTCACCAGCTTCCCATTGTGTTTGACTGAGGTGCCCAAGTGTGGATGCCCCAAGCCATCAGAAGTGAACCTCAAGCGTGGGCAGACAGGAGATGCTTTCTTCTTACCTGTAATGAAGCCCGCACAGATGTAGAGCTGCAGGATGCTGGTGCAGAAGGCGGCTGAGACCATCCCAATGCCACACAGCAGGCCTCCAAATATAACCACAGGTCGGCTGCCATAGCGGTTTACTAAGATACTGCTAATGGGACCTGGGGGAAGAGTACAAAATGGTCCTTGAGGTAGGTATCTTCTGACAGAAGGGCATGTTTGACACAAAGCAGGTAAAACTCTGCAATATCAGTGCCCCTGAGGTCCTACTGACAGCTTCTAGGGTGACTTCAGGAAGAAAATGGAAAAAGAGAAAGATGATCTGCACTGTGTGGAGACGGCAGCATGTCCCATGCCACACAGTGGCTGTGTAGTCGGTGACAGCTCCTGCCCGCAGGACTGTAAAGTGTCATCAGAGAAGGCAAATGGCAATAACAAATCGGGTGAACACATGATCCCAACACAGGAGCTTCTTGATTTATGATGATGCTAAACTATACACACAAAGCAGTGGTTCATATTATGAGGCTGATATCATGAATACTGTTGCATTTTTAATGCCTCTATTTAATGCAATTCCAATACTGCTGACCACGACTGAAGCTTGAGCAGAACAGTTGTTAATTAAATCTTAATAGCAGTCTATGTAGGTAGAAACAGTTTGGGATGATGGATTAGCTGGAGCTCAAAAGAACCAGTTTGGTCTTGCATTTATGTAAAGAGGTGGTTCAGGAAAGTGCAAAATTATGAAAGAGGGAAATGGCTTAACAAAGACTGTGCACGCTGAAAGGAAGCCTTTATATCTGAGGAAGTGGAACATGCCAGCAGTTTTGGGCGGAGGAGGAAAGAAGGGAGGTCTTGTGTAGAGTAGTCTCAACCAGCTGGAGGACCAGTAAAAATCAGAATCACAGAATAATATATGTCAGAGGGACTTTGAAGGTCTCAGGACCAACCTCCAGCTCAAAGCAGAGCCAACTCTGCAGTTAGACCAGGCTGAGAAGTCAGAACGAGAGAAGGCAAACTGAGCAGGAAAGAGCGGTCCAGAAGTCAAGGTATGAGATGTAAGGAAAAGATTCTGTATTACTCAAAAACCCCGTACAGAAATGCTGCAAAAATGATGCTGGAAGTGAAGCAGGGGGATACAGGCAGCATTTAGTATCTTATCTTCCCTGACTATTTCTGGTGCTACTCAGCACACAGCAATGGTGTTCTGGAGCCCAGTGTGCCTGTTTGCCTTCATTCCTGCCATTACGAACAGCCCGCACCATCCACGTACAGATTACTGGAAAGGGGTATTTTAAGCTTACAGGCATCTCTGAAGAGTTTCACTGTGGGATCTACCTCGCTGCAGAGCCATTTGGTAGGATATTTACCTTTGCTTAAATAATCTCAGCCAGAAATAGTGCCAGAGCACTTTCCAGACCCTGCAAACCATGGCACAGGAGCTGGACCCAAAAACCCCAATATCCTCTCAAGCATGGCTGACAGCATCCGAACAAGTTCTCAGCTGTTATAATGTGCAAGAATAAAAAACAGTAGGTATGACTGGTTTAATCTAGGGAATGAAGCCCATTGTTACATCTGTAACATGTAAAATACTTTCCACTAGATGTCTAAGGTCAAAACACTCACAAACAAGATACACACAAGCACAGTCTTAACAGCATCCCTGTAACTGCGGGATCTGTGAGCTGGTCGCATCGAATGCACCATTCAATTAACATTTCTGTAAGCGTATAATTACATGAAGAGTTTTTTCTCCTAATCCTGTAACGGGATTCACACGCATGCATCCTTTTGCTGCACACAGCACTACAGAATTCAATGAGAAGTTCTGGGGAGAGAGATATATAGGTCAGATCAGCACAGCAGGAAAGGGACCCCTTTCTCACTGAGTTTCCCCTGGTCAGGGCTCGGACTTGCATCATGCTTGAGCTGGTCTCAGCGTGTCCTCTAATTCAATAGATCGAACAAGCATTCCTCGGAAAGTCACCAACACATTCCTCTGCAGCCTAAGGGCACACAACTCTGCCATTTTTCAATTTTCCACATGTCCGCATTTCTCCAGAATCAATCTAATTACTCAACTAAGAAAATGAGGTTTCAATCACCCCTCCCACTGGAAGGGGCTTTCACATTAGCCCTAAAACTACAGGATGTCGTACCATGGAGCAGAGCATTTAAAGCCCACAAGACTTCTGCTAAGGCTCCTCTCCTGCTCTGATTCGGGGCAGTTCCTGAGGAGAGAAGCCCCTGCTATGAGAAGTAAAACAAAATGCTCACTTATGTCCCTCTCTTGCAGCATCCAGCTCAGGAGAAGGGCAATATGGATCCACGTCCCTCTCGCTCCAGTCCATAAGCTGTCGTATCAGCTTCACCCATCAGCAAGAATGGGTTTGGACCATGACAGCAAATTCCTTCCCGGCTACGGGGACAACCCCAGGTAGAGGCTGGAGTAGATGAAAGCAAAGGTCCGTAGCCCAACCACTGATTTTACAAATGAGAGCAGCCTTCCTGTGCCCCTGGAGCACCCTCCATGAACGTGCAGTGTCCTCAACCACATCCCAACTTCCCAGTGATCACTTATTAAGCCACAAGAGCACAATTGCTCTCTGTTTTTGTCTTGCGTGATCTCTCAGCAATGCTTTACAGCAGGTCTGCATGACCTTCAGCAAACAGCCTTCACCTGCTATAACCAGTGTTATCAGTTTTACGGGGGAATAATCAGTCCCGCCTGTTTGCCAGTCTGGGTGGGAGAGCTGTGGTCTCAAAGGTGTTAATCTCTCTGGGCTGGGCTGAGCTCACAGGGAACCGTGAGGAACTTCAGAAGCAACATAAGCCTTTCTCCTTCACAGCCTGAAACCTCAAGTCCAGGCCCTGTGAGCCTGCTTTGCTAAAGAAGCGCAGCACACAGGATCACAGCCCACACTTGTCAGTGACAGCATTTGATCTCCCTGACCAGCCTCACCCACATAGGACTGAGGGTCAGAGACCTCTAAGGTACTAAGTGCAGCCAGTCAGAGGAGAAAAACAGGAGCAGAGCACCTGGACTAAACCTTTCCAGCCACTGGAGAATCCACAGCGAAGGCCTTGATGAACACTCAACCTGCAGGGAAAGCACCAGCTAGACCTACACTTTACGAGACACCAGAGAATCCAACCCAAGGCCTCAACAGTTGGTAAACCAAACTTCCCTGAGCTGCTGCTCATAGGCTGAAGGTTTTGTAATAGTCCTGAGCAGACCTTTCAAATGCACTGAAGCAAATGCAAAATCACATCCCCAAAATTACTTCCACTTAAGTCATTTGGACCTACAGAAACGTCCATAGGCTTTAATGGAGCAGCCTTTCAAAAGCTGTCCCATCTCTCGGCAGAAACCGGCGCACGCAATATGTCACATAGCTGTGCACACTTCAGCACGCAAACCCTGCCAATTTGGGCAGGCGTACAAAGCACAGATGCATACACCTTCACCCTGCCCAGATGTCTTCAGTGATCAGCATCACACCCAACACATCTAAATACACCTCTCCTGCCCTGCTCTGCCACATGCCACCCATAGTGTATTTCTCACAGGGGGCTGATTAGCTATCAAACATTAGATAACTTTAACAGCAGTGTCCTGGGAAGCTTCAGAAAACATCAAATAGCTCAAGTCACGGCAGAGGAATTAAGAACAGGGAACAACAACAAAGCCAGCACTGCAGTTGTGGGAAATAGGAAACACAATTACTGCTTTGCTTGCAGCTATTGCAAAAATTAAAAGTGTGACAGCCCCTGGAAACATGGTGGAATTGAAAAGTGGGACCTGTCATTTACCAGTTATTCAGCCTCCATGAAAATAATAAAGATACTGTATATTACCACACAGAAACCAATTATGGTAACGTGTGCAGCTTAGATCCCAAGGCACCTTTACTTACTAATACCTGCCTGGTAAAACGTGCAGGAACCACAATCTCCCTGTCCTGGCATCCAAACTAAATCATCCTTCCTTCCTGCGGTGGGAGAAGCTAACAGGAGTCAGGGTGATTTTTGCCTCTTAATTTACAGGGTCAGGGGAGGACAGGGCAAGAGAAACAGCTGGCAAAGCTCTCAGAAAGCTGCCATTTGCCAGGCTTGACCTTGCAGAAGCAGCCACGCTAACGCCGTCTAAGTCTCTGAAAAGTCATGATGAGGAGCAAAAGCCATCTCAGCTGCTGAGTGTGTCCCCGATGCATGGCTTCTCAGGGACTGGAGCAGCCAGGGCTAGTGTCACCCAGCCAGCACTGTCCCCACAATCCCATCACCATGGCAGCATTGCAACTTCTGAGGAAATTAGAAGTAAAATTTAATCCCCTCCCCCGCCCCTTGCACCCCAATACATCCCAAGGATGAGCCTGCCAGCACAGGGGTGGTAGCAGCTGGTGCTTCACTGTGGGAAGGGGTGGCATTTCCACCCATCCAGCCTTAGGAAACAAGGCAGCCCCTTCCACAACCCAGCAAATGGCTTCCTCCCTCCTGACGAACTTCCAGCTGCAGCCATCATTTATCATCCATCGCAAGGGGATGACACGAGACAGCGCACGACACGGGGGGGTGCTGAGCCTCATCCTGCTGCTGGTTTCACTCCGAGCCATGCCTGCGGCTCTGCACCTGCCCTGGCTCGCAGGGCACTGCTGGGCCACACGCTCTCCAGTGGAGCTGCCATCATCCCCTGGGTAAGAGCAAGGAAAGCCCGCTCAGAAATGCCTCATTTTACATCCCAAGCCCTTGCAGAGCAGGGCACATATAAAGGGGGTTCTGCCCGCAGTAAAACTCTGCAGTATGGAGAGCAACTGTTTGCACCAAATATCCCCTAAAGATGCTGCTGGGATCATGGCACTCCTGGAAGACTGATGTAATGTAAAGCACTATCCTCAGCCCATATAAATCATGCCGGTTTAGTGCCTGTCCTGTATAAAGCCTCTCTTTTCTCATACCTGTGGCAGATTTCCATTCATTGTTAGCTGGTACATGAAAGGCCATGTCAAAGAAGCTGATCTTGGTGGCAAGCAAAACACAGGAACTCGCCAGTGGGAAAATAAAGCAAGCCCTAACTCATTTGTTAGCTTGTCCAATTACTTTTCACCTTGAGTTTTGTGTTTGCAGAAGTGAAAAGGACCCTGAAGAGAAGATTGTA